AGTCCCTGGCACCTGACAAGTCCCAGACTCTGGACGAGTCCCTGGCACCGATCGAGTCCCAGACTCTGGACGAGTCCCTGGCACCTGACAAGTCCCAGACTCTGGACGAGTCCCTGGCACCTGACAAGTCCCAGATGCCAGTCGTTCCTCCGTGTTCCACTTCGTCACATGGTGTTTCATTCAGCCGTGTGTCCACAGGGTATCTTCATGTTTGTGTCCAACCGTGAAGAGTTTGGCCGTCTGGTGACATCATCCAACTTCAACACGTCCCGGCTGCACCCGGACATGTGGCAGATCTTCGACAACCCCGTGGTGAGTTCCATATGTGTGAACATGTTTCCTGAAGGAAAGCTTGTTCTGAGATGGGGACTGAGATTCCGTTTGTCTCTGCAGGACTGGAGGGAGAAGTACGTCCATGAGAACTACTCCAGGATCTTTGAAGATGAGACCAACATCGTGGAGCAGGTAAGTAAACCAGAGCCAGATGGTTTGGGTTCTGTGAGCTCTGTGGTTTAATCAGAACTTGGGACGTGTCTTTCAGCCTTGTCCAGACGTCTACTGGTTCCCAGCTTTCTCTGATAAGATGTGTGATCAGCTGGTGGAGACCATGGAGGACTTTGGCATATGGTCCGGAGGAAAGCACAAGGTACCAGACTGTCTGATTGTGTGAGACCCACAGAAAACCGAGTCCAGAGTGTCTAAGTTCTTTTCTGTGTCCGGTCAGGACGAGCGTCTCACTGGAGGTTACGAGAATGTCCCAACTGTGGACATTCACATGAACCAGATCGGCTTTGAGAAGGAGTGGCTCAAGTTTCTCAAAGACTACCTCGTTCCTGTCACTGAGAAACTCTACCCCGGATACTACCCCAAGGTAAGAACCAGAACCTAAAGGTACAACTCAGACCCTGAACCAGAGAAACTCTACCTGGATAACAACAAAGTCCATGCTCAATAGTCCACGTATACAATCCAACATTTTTCAGTCAGGTCATCTGGACAGTTTCTTTTTTTGTCCACCTGGTACTACCCAGAAGGATGATCCAGGACCTGAACCATCCACACATTGAGAAAATCCAGGGACCTGTAGTAACGTTGTTTTCGCTGACAGAACCAGCCTGAAGATAAAAACTTATTAAATGATTTAAAATACTGTTTTCCTGAATGTATCCAGGACCTGGTCCTGACTGACCCTGGTCCTGACTGAACCTGGTTCTGACTGACCCTGGTCCTGACTGACCCTGGTCCTGACTGAACCTGGTCCTGACTGACCCTGGTCCTGACTGAACCTGGTTCTGACTGAACCTGGTTCTGACTGACCCTGGTCCTGACTGACCCTGGTCCTGACTGAACCTGGTCCTGACTGAACTTGGTCCTGACTGACCCTGGTCCTGACTGACCCTGGTCTTGACTGACCCTGGTCCTGACTGACCCTGGTCCTGACTGGAGGTTTTAACTTAATCTTTTGACACATGGTCTGTTCCTCTGTCCTGGTCTGCTCACAGGCCCAGGCCATCATGAACTTTGTGGTCCGGTACCGTCCCGACGAGCAGCCATATCTACGGCCGCATCATGACTCCTCCACCTTCACCATCAACATCGCCCTGAACCAGAAGAACATCGACTACGAGGTACGAGGTCCTTTAAGATGATCTGGACTTTCTGCAGGACGTTACAAACTAAACGTTGACCCTAAAACAAGTTCTACCCTCAGAATGAAGGTTCTAATCTTCAGATTGAAGGTTCTAATCTTCAGATTGAAGGTTCTAATCTTCAGATTGAAGGTTCTAATCTTCAG